CCGCCGGTGCATCGAGCCACCTGGGGGCTCTTCAACTGGTGGGGGAGATTGTCACATCTTGCAGGAGCTTTCCTCTCTTCAGGAGCTCCCTCTGCAGGAGGGGGAGATACAGGAGAGGTGGAGGAAGATCTCAGCCTGGGTGTTTATTGTCTTATGTAGTCTGGAAGATGAGTGGATGGTGGGGTGGGTGCAGTTTTCTCTGTGGTGGGGTTGGGAGGACTGTCCCGGGCTCTGTGGGGCCGGGAGGCGCTGCTGTGCTGGGCCCCGGTCTGGATGGGCCTGGGCCCCCTTTCCCTGGCGGGTCGCGGAGTATGGGGGTGCCTACTGGGGTCAGCGGGGGAGCTGGCCCCAGGGAAGGGTCACTTGCCCCTCCCTTCCTTCCCTCCCCATCTCCAGCTGCCTCCCTCTTCCCGCTCCACCACAACCACCCACACATGCAGGACCTTGGAGTAGGGGTATGTCACCAGGGTGCAGAGGAGGCTACCCCCCCCCCCCCCCCCCCTGTCCCCTTCTGGCTGCCTCTGCCTCAATTTTATCCCGCAACTTAGACATTCACATTACTCACACTCTCATTACACATACATATAGGATCTTGGGGGTGGGCACGATACACGGAGTCCAAAGTACCATCAGGGTGTACACCCCACCCCTGGCATCGTTGCCCACCTCTCAATTTTAAATACACGTAGACATTGAGGGCTAGCAGGAGGGACCATGCGCTTACCTGCTGCTCTCTGGCAGGTAGCTCCAAGCCCTCCTGGGTTTTAAATGCACCTTAGAACACACATGCATCAACACTACAATGAGCGGGTGGAGGGAGGTTTGGAGTCTTCTCTCACCCCCATTCTCTGCGACCTGCTGGAGCGGGGGGGCTAGGAGGAGGAGTTGGCCGTCCGACTGCGGTCTGGAGTGTGGGGCCTTCCTGCTGCTGCAGAGTCGGGGCGGTCTGCCTCCCCCCACCGTAGGGAAAAGGGTAACACCACCTGGGTCTGGGTGCAGTTCCCCCCTCCAGGGGCAAGGGCACCTAGACCCGGTTTGTAGAGTACGCTTGGGGAGTGTGATCGTGTGTACAACGTCTCTTTATGTCTGTCTCCACGTTGGTTGAGTGTGGAGTAAGTGCATATGAGAGCATGAGGGTGGAAATGGATGTTTGTATCTGTGTGTGCCTGTATGTCTGTGTCTATATGTCAGGTTGGGTGTCAGGCGCCACCTCTCTGGGGACATCTCAGGCCCTCCAAGGTATGGAGGCCTATCTCCCCCTACCACCACTCCCCCTTCCAGTGGCGGTCCCCCTCGGACATCGGTGCATTGGTGGTTCTTTGTGTCCGGGGGTGGGCGTCCAGGTACACACCGGCTCACTCCTTGGCGGCCGCTTATCGGGGCCTGGAGCCTGGGGCTCGCTCGGGCCACTTCGGAGGTGGGGTGCCCCAGGTCACTCAGGCGCGGCTGGCTGCCGGCGGAGCTCACGGGCGCGTCACTGCAACTCCCCCTGGCTTCTGCTCCGCGGCTGCTGGGTGAGCCCTCATCTGGGACTCTCCTCAGCTCTTTCTGGGACAGTGGCGCAGCTGCCCCTCTGTTGGTCTTCCTTGGTCTCTTGTGTTCTGGGGGCCTCTGGATGTCTGGAGTTTTGATCTCCTCCATACCTGCTTCATGCCCTGAAGAACGGGACTGTGGCCCCCCCACACCCTCTAGCAGATTATTACATGAAGGAACCTTTTAAAAAACAAAAAACAAGCGCGTCCATGCTCACAGGTGTACACACGGGTGATCACACCCACAAACTACACCCTTTTTGGCTCCTACCTCAAAGCACACTGTGTTCTGTTGATCTTATGTGCTGCACAATAATGTTTAATATTTAGTATTTACTGTCATATTCCCATATATCATTGTGATGTTGTTTATTCTATTACTCTTGTTCTCTTCTGCTTGTTTTCTTTTTTCTTTCTCAGCAGGTGACCCAGGTGATTGATATATGCATTTTTTTTCCTCTGCCCGTTCTGTTGGTTTTTGTCTTTTGCCCTTCTCCCCCGTCCCTCTTCTCAGCTGTTTCTCTTTCCCTCTTTCTTTCTCCCCTTCTTTCCCCCAGTCAAGTCTGTCCCGTATTCAGTAAGTGAAAATAAAATAAACAATAAAAGGTGAATCAAATGGACCATTACGGCAAGGCTGGGATGGTCAATTTGGTAAAGTAAATCCGTTGGGCATCTTTCTTTGCCTTTAGACAACAATTCTGATGGCAAAAGAGCCAAACGGGACAGGCAAAAAAAAAAAAAAAAAAAAAAAAAAAAAGTAGAATGGGTTTGGGGAGCAGTGGAGAAAGTAGGGTCGCGGAAACAGGTACAAGCTGCACAGATCTGGTTTCAGGCTGTTTCACTTTCAATTCAACCTCATGAATTCTTTATGCAGACCATCACTATAGTTATATAACATTAGAGTTTACTCTTTGAATTTGTTATTTTTAATCATTAAAACAAAGCTGAAGTGTGATTTCTGTTGCAAGGGCCATCCTTTCAACGGGCCACATTGACCTTCCAGTCATCAGCTTTAGCGCTACAGTACTACAAGTATGTAGCAAGAGCTCTAAATGGAAAAAAAATGAAGCTTTATTTGATAAAATTCAAACCTCACATAACAAGAAAAAAATTGCAAGATCAAAATAATATTATTGATGTTCTCATTATTGATGTCAGTTCAAGTTAATCCCCTGCTTAGTTTAAGACAGTGTTTCAACATGAGTTTTGCACTTTTTAGTTCATATTTGTGAAAATTTCTCAAGATTATGTATAGGCCTTGCAAATCCCAGCAAGACAATGGTAAACACAATACTGGGTCTATTACAACAGAAGAGTCGGTTGCTGAACTAGCCTGCCTACAATCTAGGTTGTCAACCAGTTGAAAACATTTGGGGTATCATGATGTGAAAAATACAACAAAGAAGACACAGGGCTGTTGAGCAGCTAGAATATGATATTGGACCAGAATGAGACAAGATTCTTCACCCAAAAGTCCAGCAGTCTTCTCAGTTGCCAGATATTTATGGCATTTGTTTAAAAGGAGAGTATGTCCTTTTTTTCTGGTAATTTTGAGATTCATAAGTCATAATGAGGAGATAAAACCTTCCTTGGATGGTTTTGTGTGTTGAAATCCTATTTTAAGTGGAAAAAATAAATTTTGTAACATTGTATAAGTCCTGCTTATAGAGTGTTACATGCCACTGTTAAGGCTGTTGACCAGTTAACACCAGCCCTTCTTTTTTGTAACTACAAAAGGGCTGAAAAAAGTCTCCGTTTCAGAATTGCTACTCATCTAATTGACAATGAATTTATGTTACACGCACTCACCTTGTAGGCATGAAGATGTGGAAACTTTATTAGCCTCAAGAATCCGTTGTTGTACTGGGGACTTAAACAAATTAATGTAATAGTTTCGTGAGGTTTTATTCTTTTGGTTGATGCATAATTTGTGCAATTTGATTTCTAATAAGCCAGTGCCATTCAAAATATAGTAACAGATTTCTCCCTCATACATTCCCTCTTAGGCTAGCCATTGGGAAAGGGGTAGCATTTTACCCAAATGCAACCGGATTGAACCTACTCAAATTTGGCTTGCTTTGCTTTCAGCAGAACTTCCTGATGCTGTAACAAACAAACTGTTTAATCCTTGGACCCTTGATCAAGAGTGTAGAAACAGGGAGGATCATAAAGGTCAGCAAGTCGCTACAGAAATCACACAAAAAATCTTGGGCGGAAAAGAGGTAAGGACAAATTCTCTTCAATATGTCTTTGGCTTTAGATTTGAAAGTGAATCCACCATCACCTTGTATTGTAGAATACCTGCTGCTGCTGCAGATCAGTCCAATATGAGCTAGAACAGGACAGGATGAAGTGAGATGAAAAAGCAAGATGATTAAACTTTAAGATGAACACTGTCTTTATAACAATAGGCACCTAATTCAGTTATTTTAAAAATGATGATACATTTTTGATAGCCAACCAATTTTGCTATAAATGTTTGTCCCTATACTGTAATATTATTTAATAAAGACAACCTCTGTTGGTTGAACCTTCCACACAAGTTACTCCATCTACTGACTGATGTAGGCTCTGGTATGAAAATGAATGGGATACATGTGAGCGTAACACATTAGCTCTTTTTCTTTTTCATGCCAGGAGGGAATGCATTACAATCCAACTGCCTTTGTGATCTTGGATATATTTTAAAACTGAAAAAATTTTGAGATTAGCTTTTTCTTATTGGATATAACTAGGTTCATGCCATGTGTCCTGCATTAGGGCAGGAAGGGCAAGAAGTGATATTTAATAATTTCTCCCAAATTAAGCCTGCATTGGCAAAATGCTGCACATGTCCTTAATCCAATTAATCACATGCCTGTGGTATACATTTACCCATTGGTCATGTATTGAAACTTTAAATAGACTGTGTTTAAATAGCTCAATGTGTTTGGAAATTTAAGGACAATAAGTATCGCCTCATATCTCTAAAATATGTTGAGTAATTGCAGCCATTCTCAAAAACAAACATCAGGATTTTGTGCGAGAGTCTAAGTTCAACACTCTCATGATGTTGCTTTTCTACCTGTGTGGTATTGCTGAGATAAACATTGCTGTTAGCAAAGTATTTATACCCCAAGCAGATACATAAATGGCATTTTTCAACAGGATGAGGACCTTACTGCAATGTTAAGTTGCGGCATTATCACACACATACAAGAGCAGCTCCATGTTAAAGTTGCAATCCTTCTTTAGTTGTCATCGAAAACAGTCTTCTGAGTTCTATAACTAGAACTGGAAAAATTTATGTAGTCTGGTCAAAATCATCAAATCCATATAACCACAACAGCCATTCACAGTCCAACATATCAAGATTGAGAAAAGGGCAAATACTGGGCTGGTCATATGGTCAAGATTTCTTCTCAACAATGCTGTTCTGCCTCAATATACTACCATAGAATGAAATATCAAAAAATATAAGGATTGTACCTTTAAGTGTTTCCACTGATAAGACCTATTAGAGGGATATTTCCAGGTTCCACACACTGCAGCACCCACATGACACATGGAACAAGAATCCGTGGTTAATAATAACAGCATCGTTAGACATGAACAAGAAAATTGATTTTAGCAGTAACATCAGGACATGGCAGACAAATTATACAACAATAGACATGTGAATATATCATCAATATTATCAATTATCTTGTTGCACACAAACAACATTTGAACCAGTATGTAGTAGTTTTACCCATCAGCTACACACAGCATTATTGTGGTGCTTGTCAGTGAAGTAAAGAATCAAATTCTCTTAACATCACATGCATTAGCAGTATTACTAGCCTGACATGGCAAACTGGACTTCACAAAGTCATATGAGTACAGGGAGTTGCATGTGATTGCTGGAGAAATGGTTACTTTATTCAGTGATTTGCACTCACATTGCTTCATCAGTTGGGAAATCAAACCAATGTTACATGACCTGCTGATGTTTAGTCTGGGCGGAAGTCAAACACCTCATCAACTGATCCTTTTCTCCCCAAGCTTTTTTAAAAAGTAGCTTCAGTTCAGTTTTACTGCTTATTTATGTGTTGTAATTAGATTAATGCAATCTATTTACATGTAATCCAATTATCTCCCCATACCACCTGCCCTGTGCTCACCAGTAGAGATAGTAGAAGAAGGAAAGGACGAAGAAGGACAGCTTGCACCAGGCCTCCTTCAGGCAGAACTTGAGTGTGTCGCCATTCATCACGGACGCTGGGTCGTACAGCAGCTCCTTAGTGTCCGTTGGGGAATGGAAGTACCTACCACAGAGGGCAAAGACCACACCACGGGTAGTTGACCCATTCCAGACCACGTGAGAAGGGGTGGGACATGTGGGAGAGATGATGGGTGGAAGTGGAGGAGAAGACAGCATGGAAAAAGATGGCATGATGAGTTTTGAGGTACACCATCATGCAGAAGACGTGGGTGAAATTGCAGTTGAATATGTTGATGGAAACAAATCTTTTGATAAACCTTTCCCCTTCATAGTGATTGCTCATGGTTTAACAATTAATTCTAGCTATGAAAAACCTGTCAAGCGTTTGGACTTTATCTGCCCTATTAGCAGCAAATGATACATTCTAGCTTGCTCACAACCTTTAAAAATCAAGGCATTTATCAAAAGGTACCTAAAAGATTAGAAACTAGTCGAGCATGATGGGTCAGAGTTATTTACTGGTCGCATTTTTTCTCTTTTTAATGCTGGAGTTAAATAATAAGATCCTCAAAGTAAAACACATTTATAAATGAGTTTATACAGCTAGCATCCAAAGTTTTTTGAAGAAAACATTAAGAGAATTTTAACAAATGTGCAAATTATCTACTGAGGAAGTCAAAACCACTACTGCTTCAAAAGTCATGTATTTTGCCATTTGGTAATTTTTAAACGGCCTCAGAGTGAGCATTTCCAGTGTGATTCATATAGAAATAAAAGATGATTTTTTTTTATAGATATGGCAGAGCTGATACATGATAGTCCAGCACCTAATAATTCAATAAAGAATGCTAACTAGTGTTAATGCTAATAAGCTAGCTAGAAAACAATGATCTGCTATGACGTGATAGTTAACAACATTGACGAAAGCTTAAACGGATGTTCCTAATCACTCTACGCTGGGAAGAAATCTGACCTTGATTTACTATCTGTTATTAATAGTGTTACATTTTTACATATTATTGTAGGAAAGCAGTGCTAGCTGTGAAAGGGAGGCAAGGTTTAGCAGCTACTTGACTCTGGAAATATCCCAGGAAATTTGACTTATCTTGCAGGAATTCCCATTTTCAACAAATGAGCAAAATATTACATCATATTTGAATAGATATCCAAATATATTTTCACCCAGGTCTGTTATGCACTTCTAAAAGTATCAGGGCTGGGGTTTTTCAACTCAGTTACTGTAGCTCATTAAGCTAACAACAAATTCAATAGCAGTAGATTAAATATATGGCAGCACGGTGGCACGGTGGTTAGCACTGTTGCCGCACAGCAAGAAGGTCCTGCGTTCAATTCCAACATCAGGCCGGGGTCTTTCTGTGTGGAGTTTGCATGTTCTCCCCGTGTTTGCGTGGGTTCCCTCTGGGTACTCTGGCTTCCTCCCACCGTCCAAAGACATGCAGCTTGTGGGGATAGGTTAATTGGATAATCCAAATTGTCACTAGGTGTGAATGTGCGAATGAATGTGAGTGCAAATGGTTGTCTGTCCCTGTGTGTTAGCCCTGCGACAGACTGGCGACCTGTCCAGGGTGTACCCCGCCTCTCGCCCTATGACAGCTGGGATAGGCTTCAGCGCCCCCCGCGACCCTGAAAAGGATAAGCGGAAGCGAATGGATGGATGGATACATAGGTTGGTTTAAGATAGATTAAATATATAAACTTTAATATGAATTTTCCACTAATTTTTCCTTTCTTCAACTGAGACCTACTGACTGATTCACAAAATAAAGAGAAAATTCAACCCAACATCTACACATCCCAATGCTGTGCTTTTAACATAACCAATACTTGTGAACACTAACAGTTCTCTTCCTTAAAGCTATGTACAAAGAAGATGTGCAGTGTAATCAGAACACAAAACTTAGTGTGATAGGGGAATTGTAAGATGTTTCCTGGAGCTTTCCAGTGAGACCTACTTCAGGATGGCTGTTCAAATTATGACATGGAAAAAATATTCTATACAGGAAACGAGACACGAGTAAGGAATTGCTGCCTGTTGCTTTAAGGGAGAGCTATTACTGATGCACATTGTCGATGGGGTAATTTTCCCTTAAACGACACCAGAACTGATATAAATGCACAGCAATCTGTAACATGGAGTGCTGTGTAACAATGCACCAGACCAGTTGCAATAAGAGAGTTGGCTTCAGGTTATTTTTCTGTCTCCTGCTGTGTTTTGCAGGATTTAATGGGAAATGAAGTCCAACCAGGAAGCTGCCATCATTATGTGGCTCAAGAGTTGGGAGTTCGCCTTGTAATCGGAAGGTTGCCAGTTCGAGCCCTGGCTTGGACAGTCTCGGTCGTTGTGTCCTTGGGCAAGACACTTCAGCCTTTGTCTACTGGTGGTGGTCAGAGGGCCCGGTGGCGCCAGTGTCCGGCAGCCTCGTCTCTGTCAGTGCGCCCCAGGGTGGCTGTGGCTACAATGTAGCTTGCCATCACCTGTGTGTGAATGGGTGGATGACTGGATGTGTAAAGCGCTTTGGGGTCCTTAGGGACTAGAAAAGCGCTATACAAATACAGGCCATTTACCATTTAACTGGTATTTCTGCTTCGAACCAAAGCTAACAGATGGCTTATGTTCATACTTTATGGTAATCCATGTATATTTGCCATTTACAGCTCTGAGATGGTTGTACATTTAGGTGTCAAAAATGAATTACATTGTAAATTCACATATTTACATATGTTTGCTGATATGTCATGCATATATGAAATATTCAACAATGCATTTGAAAATGAGCACCACACAAGGGTTCAGTAATGTCCCAACTATACATTACTGAGGATGAGGTGAACATGTCTGGGTAATCATTAAGAGTCTACTAAATAGCTAATTTACATACTAAAAATATCATTAATAATTGAATAATAAATGGAAGTCCCTCGAGTAAAGGTGACAGATGAGACATGAAAACATTTGAGACACACTTCTTCCTTTATGCTAGACATAGAGATGTTTGGTGTTAATAATTTTGTTCACACATAACAAACAGCACTCTCTCGCTTGCTCTCTAACTCACACACACAGACACACTCTTTGGGAAGGATTCAGCTGGCAAGCAAAGAATTTTAACAACAACACTACAGTGGCCAGGCTGTCTTGGAATTCCCTCTACAACTCCCTACATTGATATTATTGCATGCTAAACTAGTTTTTAAATAATCAAGAAAATATCCCTCACGAATGGACAAGTTGTCAGTTACATCACTGCAGGCTGTATGTAATTACGGTTGCTCTACCGAGGCCTTAATGTTCCTTGTAGCATATGTAGATCTACTTTTGTACTGTGACTTTAACATCCAAAGGATAATTTGAAAAGTAGACAGGCAGTCCTACAGATTATTTCAACTAAGTTACAAGAATTCTGACATTTGAAGATTATTTGTTACAAAATTAAACCTTCTCCAGTTATTTCTTTTCTCTCTACAGACTCAGTCCAAGATCCTAGCTAAATACTTTACGCTTTCTGGGGGTTAAATTACAAATGTTGAAAATTTGTAATTCTCCAACCACGTGACTAGAATAAGATCCAAGATTTTAGAATTTAGATAGACTAATTAGGTTTTGTGAGAATCTCAAAAGAAACTTGAAACTACCTGACATGAAAGTTAACCATGACATGGTTAACTGTTCCAAGCCATCTTTAAGTATTGGTAAATAGCTTACTATCAGCTGTTTTTATGAGAAATCTCATTACAGTAGTTATTAATACATTCACTCCCCCATCCACAGCCTACTGTCCTCTCGCCATCCCTCACTCTCCTCTGAATCACCCTGTCAATAATTGATCTTTCACCCATCACTCACTCACTTTCTCTGTTCTACTTCCTGCCAATCCCTACTTTCTCCCCATCTTCCTTTCCCTGTCTACTCATCTTTCAGCTCACACATCAGTAGCTGGTGGGCATCTGCAAACTCTGCAGTTAATGAGATAGCAAAATGTTTTCTCTTCTTTCCTCCTTTCTTCTGTAACTTCAACCAGCTGAGCACACGAGCTTGAACCAATGATGCTGCCAGCAGTCCATTTCTATCCCACTAACCAGCGGGAGGACCAGCAACAAAAATGACAACAGATAAGAGGGAGCAGCAAAGGAAACATGAAAATCACTGAGTGGTGACTCATCTTTTAGACTCTGCATTTAAGAGTCTTGAAAAGCAAAGAAAAATGTACTTGCAACAAATATGGATTTGCTTATACAAAACCGATGTCCTCAAAAATATGGTCAATTATGCTTAGGCAATATCATGGTATCACGGTATAACATGATTTTTCATTTCTGACTATTAAACTCTGTTCAGGTGATGAAGTGAGGGTTCTGAAGTGTGCTGCAAAAAGCAGTATTTAACCATGGACTAAAATAGAAAGAAAATAGAAAATCTGAACGTAGCAAGCATTATGTTATCCACTAATTTGTGAAGTCCCATACTAGCCATCTCTAAAAATTTGTGACGGTCACTAGCCAATCAGCATACCTTGGTTTACCCTCCTTTCTTACACTCACAATTACCCTTAAAAATCATGCTGTTTTATCAATGACTTAAACTAGCAACTGAGTCGATAAAATCATCAGGAGAGTGTTTAATGTGGTCCAAGAAAAAGGGAGCACAAAGCCGTTTTTTGGCCACAAATCTCAGGCCAGAAATAGCCCCAGTGCAAGTTGGAGGTCATTGCTCAACGAAACCAACATAACCATCTCATCGATAAAGCACAGATATGACCACTGTGATTACTGAACCAGACTCCTTTCACTCATTTTCTGTGTTTAGAAGTTCCATACACAGAAATTATGAATAGAATTAGTGACAGAGAGCAGTCCAGTTTCCAGCAGTCCAACTTATTGCTGGCAATACAGCTATAGCTCTGGCCATGGTTGAACAGGGATCGGCTAGCCTGTAGCCATACTCCTGTGACTCCCTCAGGACACCATGGGGGACACAGTTTTATGCATTCTCCACAAAACACATATAAACTGGTTAGGCAAACTCCCAAGCACCCTGAAATATCCTACACAGGATTAAGAACTGGTGCAGTGTTTAATGACCAGCATGCATTGTTCTTCCAGAATTGCTGGTTCAACTAACAGATGGACTCTCCTCACCTGTACCCTAGCATAGACTTTCCCAGTCAAGCTGAGAAGTATGATACACTTAAAGTTGAAACATGCTCTCCAATCCCCCTTCTTGAAGAGGGGAACCACCACCTCAGTCTGCCAATCCAGAGGCACCATCCACACAGTGTTGCAGAGGGGTGTCCGCCCTGACAGTTCACAACATCCAGAGCCTTGGGAAACTCAGGGTTAATCTCATTCACCTTAGGAGTTCATCCACCAAGGAGTTGATTAACTGCATCAGTGACTTCACCTCCAGTGAAGGGTGAATCAGCTTCTTCGTCTCCACACTCTGCTTCCACTACGAAGGAGTGCCAGCGGGATTGAAGAGATGCTCAAGTATTTCTTCAATCATTTGACTATGTTCTTGAGGTTGAGGTTAGCAGAGTCCCATTCCTACTGTATACAGTGTGGATAGGGAGCTCCTTCCCCTTCCCTGAGCTAGTGCCTAACTGGAGTTTTTGCCTTGAGCTGCACTCTGGAATCACATAAGTTGCCATGCTCAACAGGACCACTTCTCCAGCTTGACAGCTCTCTTCACCTCCAGTATCCACCATCTGGAGATTACAGCCAAAACATGGAGCATAACATACAGCCTCAAGTCACCTCTGCAATAGAGGTGCTGAAGATGGTCCATTCAGACTCAACGTACCAAGCTTCTGTCAGAATGCTTTCAAAGTTCTATCAGAGGTGGGAGTTGAAGATCCTGCAGACCGGGGCCAGCACATCCTCACTATTCACATCTGGATGTGTCAGTCCTGTCCAGTATTCTCCCCTGCAGCTGACACCTCTGCTCCTCTCTTCACTCACGTGTCTAGAACATACGCGTGAAGATCTGATAATACAATTACAAACTCGATCATTAACCTTAAGCTTAGGTTCTCCTGGTGCCACGTGCACTTATGAATACTCTTATTTTTGAATGTGGCGTTCATTATAGACAAACTGTGATTACCACAAAAGTCAAACAACAGAACATGATTTGGTTTCAGATCATTGTTAACTTTTTGACTGTTGTTTAAGATTTTTGGGGTATGGGGTTGTGGTTCAAGGTAGTTTTAACTGTGTGGTCAAGGCCACATCTACTTGCTATCATTCCTTACCATAATAATAAGAGGTAAGTTTACTTTTAATTTTTCTTGGATAAATGTATTCGTAATGTGAATTTGCATGGCATTTATTCGGCTCTGGTAGGATGAACTGGCGCTCTGTACTGAGCTGTTAATAAGCAGTCAGGTTTTGAAAACCCTGTATATGTATTTTTTTAATATCCCTGGTGACCATTAAAGCAAAGTTATAGATTTTATGACATTCGTTAGATAGGAGATTTAAAACTGCCCAAACGCTTCACAAAGACATCTACAGAGAAGTACTTTGAGTACATCCAGACAGAAAAAAGGGTTGTAGAATTAAAGTGGTAAACTATAAGACTTCTTCTTAAGCAATGGTTGAAAATTGTGCATTAACATAAAAGAGGTTTATAGCATTAAGTAGCATTTTTATTCATGTTGTATTGCCACTATTGCGCAATACAATTATCATTTATTTAGTTCTCTTTAAAGGCTCGGTATAAGTAGTTTACAGAGAAATTTTGCTCAAATGACAGAAAAAGTACATCTGTTGGTTACTGTTTCCATCTCAGGATTTATACATATATTGTGCAGTAGTAAGTATTTATAACAGCAGGATAAGGGATTCACTTCAAATAGTGCTGAAATAAAACATTAATGTCTGGCTACATACTGTATATTGTATATGTTAGGTGAAAAATTCATTGCTTGAGTCTCTTGCTAACAGATTTTCTTATAAATAAAATAAAATATCTGAATCATAAGCCTCATCTTTTAATGCAAATGTCTTTGGGTCAAAACAACCTTAGCCAATAAGATGCCATCTGAAAAATCAGGGCAAAGTGTACACATTCACACAGATACACACGGGACGATGGATTGGATAGTTACCTCCACGTGTTGTAGAAGAGCAGGGGAATGTTGAGGCCCACAGTCAGCCACTCCTGAGCACACAGGAACATGATGCAGAACAACACATGGATGGAGTACTCTGGCAGCACCAGCTACAGGACAGAGAGAAATAGGAGAAAAATCGATTGCTAAAGTTAAAGACCTTTTCAGCAGGCTTATGTCTCCTTGTTGCATTATTTGGCACCATTGTTATCAGATATTGGGTGAGTGGCATTTGCTTTAAGACAAGGACTGAGTGATAGTCCAGAACTATATTTAATTAAACACAATGGCAGTTGGTGAGCAGATGCCACATTATCATTTTAATTCCCAACAGTGCAGGAAAACACTTCATTGTTAGCATTTAAACCCTAACCCAACATATATTTACCCATTAAAAATCTGCTTATATGCAATTCCCCCAATTCATAATACGGAGAGCTTTGCGTCATAATGGTTATTTCATAGTGATGGCAGAGCTTCGTTGTTATTGTTATTGTCATAATTGTTAAATATTGAAATACATATAAATTTCCTTTTAAATATTAACATGTCAAAGTATCTTTATTTATCCTTTGCTTTTTGTGGTTCAGTTACTTAAGTTACTTTAGGTCAAACTAAACAGATATATATTTGCCTGCCAAAGGAGTTGGCGTGCAATCAGCATGGCTAAAATTGCTTGTCATGCAAATCCCTGTGAACACCTGAATACCCAGTATTTTTGTCCACTGAAATCAGTGGCAGCTTTTTACCACTTTACGAAATATAATTCACAAAGAAAGCCACTTCACTTTTCATGTATATTTAACAGCATACAGGGCGATGAATTCAAAACTGCCTGGCCTTGAACATTGCTCAGTACGCTGCCATAAAGAGGCAGTGTTCAGGATGCATTATTCAGACTGCTACACGTTTCCTAATAAAGGAGAAACACATTTCCATTGAATAGCTCTTTAAGTGCAGGAGACCAGAAATATGCTGCTAAGACAAAACCTAAATATATCGATTCGAGTTCACACATTGGGAAGGGATGCTCCACACAATACACAACGCACATGCCAATGCAGCATTCATGTTGTACATTGACAACAACACAGACACACACACGCTCCGCTCCCACCTGGGATAACAACGTATTAAAATACAAAGAGTGACACTGAGCTGAACAGCAGCCCTCTTGTTCAAATCCTTAATTCATGTTGGTTGACAGCACAGATGACAGTATAAACACAATCCATCAGCGCAGAAGACACGCAGGAAAACTAAGCACTTAAAACTTTTTTCCTGTTCTCTCAATGTTTAAAAGGATTTTAATGTACCTAAAGGCCTTGTTTAATGGTGTGACACTGGTCGCAAAATTGTAAAACAAGAGTAAACTCAGACGAACAAATGTATAAAATATATTATGTGTAATTCTGAATACTCTCAAAGGTATTTAAATGTTTTTTTGTGCGTACAAATGTGTAAATATCTGGGCAAACAGGAATTTGACCACAAGAGGAAAACTACAGGTAACATCAGGAGGGCGTTCTACATGCTGGAAGATTTGTTTGGGATCAAACTTAAGAAAGAGCTCTCTTTCTGGAGAAGGTTGGCAACTAAGTATAAAACTCAGATTTTTCTACTGGGGGAATCCCACTAGAAACCAGTAGCCATGATAGTGTGAACAAGTCTTTTCTTTGGTCTGTTTGTTTTTAATTTCTTTTTCTTACTAGAACACCCTGTTGGCTGCTAAAGTGGCGACATTCTTAAAAAACTGCACAAAAATTGTTTCAGGTGACAACACACATTTAGTTGACCTTCTAACGTCTACAGCTGGAAAAAAAAAACAGCAACCAGGCACTGCAGCATCTGTTTACATTCTTACAAATGGGCATTCAGACAAACAAAAGAGTTAAATCAAATGGTCTGATCACAAACTACTTCGTCAAGGTCAGCTGAGGAGTCAGCTATATTTGTATGAACAGCTGTTTAGGAATTTGTCATCCTAATAAACTACTATTTTTTTTATTGTGTGCTGTCACATCCAACTTGGTGACCACATAGTATAGTGGTTTACCCATTTGCATTACAAATAAAAGGTAGTTGGTTCAATTCCAACCAGAGACAGAAATCCCCTCCGGGCCAATGTCAGAAAGGGAAGCAATGACAACTCTGTAGAGCTTCCTGCTGTGATGGTAGCTTCTGCTTTTTCACAATCATAAGTGCATAGAGCTTACTACTGAGATTGCCATTACTGCAACCACATACATGAATCTGTTACAGATTTATAATTTATTTCATGGCTCAGAATGGAAATGCAGAAAAATAACGAGAAATGCAAATAGCGATAATTATTAAACCCATTATAAAGTGTTGGCAACTCTGCTGTGATTAATTTGAATTCAGTGAATGTGTTCACAATACAGAAAGAGTTTGTTTGTATGCCTCAGTGAGGATTATGAACTACACACTGACCCATATCACAGAGGGAGTTTTTCCTTCCCTGTGTCGCCGAAGTGCTTGCTCACTCTCTGTATATATATTATTGTAGGGTCTACCATACAATATAAAGTGCCTGGAGGCGACTGAGGTTGTGATTCAGTGCTGTTTAAATAAAACTGAATTGAATTGAAAAAAAAAAAAATCAAGACTATTGCCACCATTTTTGTGTTCGCTATGCACTCAAGGGTTGAGTTTTGTTTAGAATTAGGGTTCAGATATAGAGTTGTGATGGTTAACATTAGGGTACGCTTGAGAACACATTATTCATCAGCCATCGGATGTCTTCACATACACATATAAAAAAAATGTGTGTGTTGGAGCATATGCAATCAAATTACATGCTAATGGGTATCAAACTATATCTTTCTGAAGCTCTGTGTGTCTGTGTATGTGTTGACTGAAAACCCATCTGGGACTGCCTGGCAGGGACTGGAGATCTGTTTCTCTAGCTGTGGAGCCCAGGGGCCACCCTTACAACCATCTGATCCATTGTTTGTCAGTCTTCACATGGGGCTCTAGATTTTACCCCCATGTGAACACTTTGTAGAGCTTCCTCCACACCGAGCAGAGAGCACTCATGACATTTGTACTATGACACTTAATGGATACACAAATGCACGAACATGTTTATTGCTGTGACTAAAATATAACAGGCACAAGTTGAAGATGCAATATGTGACATTACCATTGGTAGGAAACAACACCCCTGTAACACATGTCCAACCAAGCATCCGTCTCCAGGGCTGAAACATGAAGCCATTGTGGAGCTGCCAAGGATTGCACTTCTTCTGATTGCCACTTGAAGTTGTCACCAATAGTGAGTCAGTCACATGGATTCCCATTTCGAAATGTTTACAGCAGGGGTCCCCAATCCCAGTCCGCAAGGGCCGGTGTCCCTGCAGGTTTTAGATGTGTGCTTGATCCATCACAGCTGATGTAAATGGCTAAATGACCTCTTGAAGTTCTCCAGAGGCCTGGTAATGAACTAATCATGTGATTCAGGCGTGTTGACCCAGGGTGAGATCTAAAACCTGCAGGGACACCGGCCCTTGTGGACTGGGATTGGGGACCCCTGGTTTACAGCATAAAAAAAGCACGTTTGTAGTCTTGTTTAGCCTGGATATTGGAAGTGTTGCCTTTCATGTCAACTATATGTTGTATGTTGATTGATTTTTTTCTTGTATTACTGGAGTTCAGTGTGTAGACACTTTGTTTCACAGGTGTCCTTAAACAGGAAACTGTAGCTGCTAGCTGTTTGCTAGGCCTCACCTTCCACTAACTGGAGCTGCTAACCTGTCCAATACATTTGTGCTGCAGTGTGCGAGAATGCTATCGTAGTATTTGCACAGTTCCTATTAAGCAACGATTTAGCAAGTGTTTGTTGACAGTGCACTGCAACTGTACAGTTTATGAATGATTGCACTAGCAAGCTTCTTAGTCAAGCTCCCTAGAGTTCACTGATAAATCCGCCCACTGTTACTAATAAGGCTGCTTCTAGCGCCAAAAAACCCTAACAGAAAATGTCAAGGTTCAAAATGCTTAGCCATCATGATGCCACCCACTGGTTTCGAAGTTTGTTTTCTATATATACATATACATACATAGAATATCTATGTATATGCAAAGCTACTGCATTGGATTGAATTAGTATGTCAAGAATTCATCATAATTTGCTGCAGCATTTACATCATATTTAGAAAGTTTAAAAACAGCTTTATAGAGTTGCATCAGAAATTACACTCCTTGAAGTTACCACTCAGCTAAACCTCCCCCAGAATGTATAATTATAAACCGTGTGATTTTCATTTCTCAGTTATCCTTAGCTCCAGTATCCCTCACATACTTGTAAAAACATAGGATGAGGATGATCTAAATTAACTCAGATTGATCACATTTTTTCTAGTATCAAAGCGACAGTTATCTATTTATCTATGTAGCTATACATAAAGAGGATTTAGCATGCTTTCTCTGTAGGTGTCAGTCTTATTTTCTAACAGTCAGTACTGAATGACTGTTAAATTAGGGTTGCTGAACCACAAGAAAACTGGTTAAATTGCCACGAAAAAAGATTGTGTTATATCAGGGGTAGGCAACCTTTCTGATGATGAGTGCCATCTAAAATTTCCTCAGAAGTCAATGTGCCATATGATTGCATTAGCAATACATTTAATAACGCTCTATATTAACAGTTACACACTATATAGAACAGCTTTATAGAATTATATTTGTTCGCAGATGTTGGCAGCTATCAGTGAATAGTTATCAGCTATTCTGAAACAAAAAAAGACACTTTTTTATCCATAGCAACTTCATAACAGCAAATTAACTGTACAACAGAAAATGCAAATGCTATTTATGGTCTCCTCACAACAATGATAAGAAAAATAAACTGGGCTAATATGGCATGTTTGTTAATACAGGGATACACGTGTTAATGTGATCTCTGGTCTCCCACTCAGAGACACAGGTCTCCGAGTGTCCAGCATTCAGACGGCTACCTGAGTACACTCATGTGAGAGAAAATCTGCTCACACAGATATGTAGAGCCAAGTACTGTCAATAAGGCCTCTGCAATGTTCTGAAGACAGTTAAACTTGTCAGGTAGTGATGTCCAGCAGGTGAAAAGGCA